TTTGTAGTTTCTGTAGTCAAATTATATTAGACGATTTTAAGCAATTTTTAGGGCTGTTACTAAGAAAAAATGACGAAAACGAGCCATTTTAAGCTATTTTAAGCCTATTTTGACCGTGGTGGCCTANAAATCCCAAAAACTCGGCCACGGGTATTTTGGGGGTCAGAAAAGCATTTTGAAGCAGCTTTTTTAGTTTTTTGAGGCGTTAGAAGCCTCCAAAAACTAGAAAAATGACAAAAATTGACCAAAAAAGCATGGTGGCCGAGTTTTTGAAATTTNTAGGCCACCGAATTTTTTCTCTCGATTTTGACTGCAATTTTTCGAATTTTTGGGTCCCAAATTTCATTTTCAGTGATTTCCAGCAAAAAATGACGAAAAACGAGCTATTTTAGGAATATTTTTAGCTATATTGACCATGGTGGCCTAGAAATCCCAAAAAACTCGGCCACGGGTATCCTGGAGAAGAAAATGCCTTTTTAAGCATATTTTTCGATTTGTGATGAGTTTGGAAGCCTAGAAAACCTCAAAAAAGGCCAAAAAGCACGGTGGCCGAGTTTTTGAAAATTTGAAAATTCTAGGCCACCAAGAAAAAAAAAAGTTTTTTTCCAATTTTTTTTTTGCGTTCTAGGCTCATTTCTCGCGGAAATTCCGAATTTCTAGTTAATTTCCATCCCCCGCCCCTCGTTGCCCCTCAAATCGCTCACCATTCTCTCCATGTTCATCTTTCAAGTTAGGCTCCGCCCCATTTTCGAGCAAAATGGCCGCATGTTGATGATTTCGACATTTTAAGGCCTCTAAAAGCGGAGTAGAGCCGTCGGAGGCGGGCAAATTGACGTTTTCGTTGACTAGAATCAAATTTCTCAGGATCATCTCGTTTTTTGAAATTGCCGCCAAGTGGAGCGGCGTCTTCTGGCTCCCATCGTTTATCGATCGACACGGGTCGGCTTTTGCGACGGCTAGAAGGAACAAAACCGATTCGAAATCATTCGAACGGATCGCCTGATGCAATAGATTCTCCCCATTTCCGTTGGTTTGGACGGCGGCGTGCGGTTGGCGGCCGACGATCAGGGAGGCCAACTGGAAATTTTTTTTTTTTTTTGAAAAATTTTATCGATTTTTCTTTTTCTAGACACTTTTGGCACAAAAAAAATGACGAAAAACGAGCCATTTTTAGCCATTTTAGGCCTATTTTGAGCTATTTCTACCATGGTGGCCTAGAAACCCGCAAAACTTGGCCACTGCGATTTTTTCAGAAAAAAGGGATTTCTAGGCCAATATAGCTGAAAAAACGACAAAAAACAAGGCATTTTGAGCCAATTTAGGCCTGTTTTGACTATAGTGGCCTAGAAATTCTAAAAACTCGGCCACGGGTATCTCTAGCTTGCAAAACTGATTTTTTGAGTCATTTGGGAACTTCAAAACACCAAAATTCGAATTTCCCATGAAAATCTACTCCAGAAATCATGAAAAAAACGGAAAATTAGAAGGTGGCCGAGTTTTTGGAAATTCTAGGGCACCAAAATTTTTTTCGAATTTTTTGAATTTTTTGTTCTCGGACCTCGTTTTCAACGATTTACAGTAAAAAATGACGAAAAACAAGCCATTTTGAGCCATTTTAGGCCCATTTTGACTATGGTGGCCTAGAAATCCAAAAAACTCGGCCACGGGTATTTTGGGGGCCAAAAAAACATTTTTAAACTGATTTTTAGCTTTTCTGAAAGGTTCTAAGCTTCTGAAAGCTTAAAAAATGACAAAAATTGGCCAAAAAGCATAATGGCCGAGTTTTTGGAAATTCTAGGCCACCAAAATTTTTTTCGATTTTTGACCCAAAATTTTCAAAATTTTTGAATTTTTAGGTCCCGAAGCGATTTCTAGCACATTTTAGTGCTCTCATGGCCGAGTTATTGAAAATTCTAGGCCATCTACAGTAACCCACCTCGTGATCCTTCATGGTCATCGATTGCGACAAGATCGTCTGTCCGAATTTATCCCGAATCGGTATGAATTCCACATTTTCAGCGTCGAGAAGAATCTGGAAGAGAAAAATTGAAGGTGGCCGAGTTTATTGGATTCCTAGTCCCCGTTCAAAAAATCACTGAAATCACTCAATTTTACTCATTTTTTCGAGTGTCTAGCATGAAATTTTGAGTCAGAATCGATTAAAATATTGATTTTCGGCGGTGGTGGCCTAACTTTTTCAAAATTTGGATTTCTAGTCCCCGTTCAAAAATCGCTAAAAACCGCCTATTTCAATCCGTTTTTTCTCAAAATTTCTAGATTTCTTACCTTTACACCCTCCGTATTCTGTTCCCGCACACCTATATGTGCCGGTGTCCGTCCATCCTGATCCACAGCGCTAAGCTCCGCCCCCTTATCCCGGAGAGCCTGCAAAATGGCGTTTTGGCCCCATGAAATCGCCATATGGGCTGGTGTGAACTGATCATCGTCGGCAGGGTTACTGTAGATTTTACGGCAGTTGACATCCGCACCGTTTTCTATCAGAAAAACGGCTCCCGGCTCGTCACCGTCGTCGATAAGTCGGTGGAGGAGGGTTTGGCACGTGGACCAGGTCTGAAAATAGAAAATTTGAAAAAATCGCAAAATTTTAACCTAGAATGCAAAAAAAAGCGAAAAAAAATTTTTTTTTTTTGGTGGCCTAGGATTTTCAAAATTTCCAAAAACTCGGCCACCAAGTTTTTAGGCCAATATTTGCGATTTTTCGAGGTTTTTAGACTTCTAAACTCATTGGGAATCGAAAAATATGCTTAAAAAGGCATTTTTCATCCCCAGGATACCCGTGGCCGAGTTTTTCGGATTTCTAGGCCACCATGGTCAAAATAGGCTTAAAATAGCTCAAAATGTCTCGTTTTTCGTCATTTTTTAGCTGAAAAATGCTGAAAATAACCTCTAGAACTAGAGTAACCAAAAAAAATCGCACATTTCTGTCCTAGAATGAAAAAAAATTGGTGGCCTAGAATTTCCAAAAACTCGGCCAATATGATTTTAGGCCAATTTTTGTCATTTTTGAAGTTTGAAAATTGCTGAAAATACGCTTCGGGACCTGAATATTCAAAAAATTCGAAAAATTCAGTTAAAAACCAAAAAAAATTTGGTGGCCTAGATTTTCCGAAAACTCGGCCACCGAGAAAATTTTGGTTTTTTAATAGTTTCTGGGGTAGATTTTGATAGGGAATTCAAATTTTTGGGTTTCAAAACTCACAAATGACTCAAAAAATCGATTTTGCAATTTTTGGATTTCTAGGCCACCGTGGTCAAAATAGCTCAAAATAGGCCTGAAATAACTCGTTTTTCGTCATTTTTTCTCTATTTTTCATTCCTGTGGCCTCCTACCTCATCACTATCCTCCAAAACGTCTCCAGACTCCGATAGCTTCACTTTGGACTCCAAATCGCATCCAAAGCTCACCAGGAGCGCGGCAACTTCGAATTTTTGATTTTTCAAGGCCGCATGGACCAGAGAGTATCCTGTTGAGCATCTTTCGTTGAGTTTACATCCATTTGAGATGAACGAGCGGACTGTGCTGAGCAATCCACGCTCACACGCCGCTTCTAGGTACGTTTTCCCATCAATTCGGCTGAAAATTCACAATTTTTGGATGACATTACACTGTGAAAGGCTCCAAATTCGAAAAATTCAAAAAAATTTGAGCCTAAAACCATCATTTTTGAGCACTTTAGACCATTTTTAGCATGGTGGCCGAGAAACCCAAATTCTGCAAAAGTTAGGCCACCAATTTTTTTCTCATTTTTTGATTGGGTCCTCAGAGATTAAGGCTTCAAAAACCGCTAAAAAAATCATCAAAAAACCTTTATTTAGAAGCGATTTAAGCCAATTTTCCCTAGGTGGCCTAGACATCCGGAAAACTCGGCCATGGGTGTTTTTGGGGATTTCCGGCGTTTTTGGGGTCTAAAATTGCTCAGAAATACTTCTAAACTTCATTTTAAACATAATTTCGATCAAAAATCGATATTTTTCTAGTGGCCTAGAAACCCGAACATTTGGATTCCTAGGCCACCGCTCCCTCACTCTTCATTTTTGGCTTTTGCGTCGTTTTCGATGAGGAATACTCCAATTTCATCGTCATTCGCCAGAATTGCCTTTGACAGAAGGCTCCGCCCATTCTTATCGTGTGAATTGACACGGCACCGCCTGGAATTAAAAAAAAATTGGTGGCCTAAAAACCCAGAACTCGGCCACGACTAGTTCTGGACTGGCAGAGCTATTCTAGTGCTTAAAATGACAAAAACTAGCAAAAAAGTCAGCTCAAAACCCCTATTTTAGGCCATTTTACCAAGATGGCCGAGTTTTGGGTTTCTAGGCCACCTTCATAACTCGGTTTCTAGACGAGCTAGAGAGCCAGTTTTTGGACTGTTTCTTGTGAAATCTTGTGCTTGTCAAGATTTGGATCATTTCGAAAGATTTTGGTGGCCTAGAAAACCGGAAAAACTGGGTTTCTGGGCCACCACCCATAACTGGTCTGCCAGGTGGC